AGTCAGAGGAACTTTAGACATATAGCTAAGGCCTGAAGGGTGACCAAGTCAGACCTGAACCAAACAGCATCCTGAGTATCTTTGGGAAAATGAAGGAACTAATAAGATTGTTTGAGTTTGGAGAAAACTCTATGTAGAGTTTTAAAGAGCTGACAGAATGTGGTGAGATTCTGCCAGAAATTCAAAGAACACAATGAGAGAAAGGTAGAGACACACACAGAGAAAGACTATGAATTTTAGAGAAAAAAAAAAGTTATGTAAGAATGAGAAAGTAAGGCTGGGCCTGGTGGTTTATGTCCATAATCCCAGCCCTCTGGAGGCTGGGGCAGGATTGTGAGTTTAAGGGTATCCTGAGCTACACAGTGACTTCTAGACTAACCTGGGCTACACAGAAAGAACCTGTCTCTAAAATAAACAAGTAAACAAACAGAACAATGTAATCACAGTATACATGACCCAGTTACAAATATTTATGAGGCAAATGACTCGCAATTTACCCGATCATTTATTATCACGAATGAACAGTAGCGGGTAAAGAGCCAGACATTTTGACATCCTCCATGAATATGTGGACTAGAAGCATAAATACCCAAAGTCCAGAGGAAAGAACGGTAACTGACAAATGCTGTAATTTGCTTGCATTTATTTACAACATCACCATTGGTAAGAGCCATCACTGACTGGCTTAACAACATACTTAACAACACTTGTTTTAAACATTCATATAGTTATCTAGAACAGATTCTATACGCCCTCAAGTTAAAATTGGCCAAGAATCAGGATTTCTATTTCAAAAAGGTAAAGGCAGGATCCAGGAGAAAGGTACGGCAGAGTGGAATTCAACATGGGCCTTGGAAGTTGGGGTACAGCCTGCACTCCTGATCCATTTGCTAAACCTTTGTTGCCAGAGCCAGTTGAGCCCCACATCTCCAAGCAGGGATTCATATTTCTAACTCTATATTGTCTTTCCTTAAAGAGGAAATATGTTTTTGCAAATTCTGCAATTATGATGTGACATTAGAAAGTGGGGCAATGAGAGGACAAAATAAGAGCAAAAGTCATTAGGTGATAACTAATGTGGAGAATGGAGAAACAGCAGTACAGGCACAGAATGCAGACACAGGCCTGTCAGAGAAACAGCTCTTGTCATTGGCTACCAGCTGACCCCTACATTCACCTCCTCCAATGGCTCAGCAACAGAATGTTTAGTTGGCTACAGAGAAAGCAACAGCACTGCCCAGCTTCCTCTGTAGCTAGGTCTGGCCATGGGCTGTATGCAGAAGCAACTTCTAAGTCAGGCTCTCACAGGGAAAAGGCAAGCTCGGCCTGGAACTGCACCCTTGTATTCCTAGCATTCGGAAGGCTAGGTCATTACAGACTGGGTTGCCTAGTGAGTACCAGGCCACCCAGCACTATATAATGAGACACTACCTAAAAGTAGAAAAAGGTAAGCTCTTTTCCCCAAGAACTGTTCCTTTTTACTGGATATAGACAGCATGTAGTAGCATGGGCTCACAGCAGAGATGGGTTCATAACAGGAATGAGAAAATTGCACTGTACTCAACACATCATACTGGTCTTGTGGACATACAGTATCACAAAACAAAACCAGAGTCTTGATTACTAACTGATCTATAGACTGAACGAATTGATTCAGACTGAATGAACTGAAAAGGGATGTTTCTATTCTGAAGATCAGAACTGGAAAAACTCAGTGCCAAGCATAATCTTCCATCTGGAATGACTTTAGGATTATTGAGAGGAGGGGAAAGCAACTAAGTAGCTCTTCCAAATAGAATGTTACATATGGCTTTCAATTTGCCAAAATGAAATGACCAAGCCAGTCTGGTACACTAGCACACAAGTGGTCTCAAACATGCTGTTGGTCATACGTACGTAGATACTACCGTGGTTTAAATGCGGATGGTTTAAATACTTGGTCCTCAGTTGGTGGAACTGTTTGGGAAGGATTAGTAGGTACGGCCTTGTTGGAGGAGATACGTCACTGAGGGTGGGTTTTGAGGTTTCAAAAGCCCAGGCCATTATCAGTTAGCTCTCTCTCTCTCTCTCTGCCTTGTGCCTGTGGATCAGGACATAAGCTCTTAGCTACTGCTCCAGCGTCATATTCCCTGCCATGATGGTCATGGATTCATCATCTGAAACTATAAGCCCAATAAACAAATTATTCTAAGAGTTGCTTTGGCCATAGTGTCTTAAAACAGCATAAGAAAAGCAACTAAGATAATTCCTCAGCTTATCATGTGAAGGTGCTTTGAATTTATGGTGTCTTCAACTCAGAGATTGTAATCTTTTATAATTTATTAGCTCATTAATTATTAAAATTACTTCATTTTGTGGGCCCAAATGAACTATGAGGGGGATAATGTATGACCTGGATACTTACAGTATTTAGCTTTTTAATGTTACTTTTCTTTTTCTTT